CAGTCCGGGGCCATGACCTCCCCCCCGCCGCCTCCGCCGCCGCCCTCCGGGCAGCCCGCACATCTGGCGCAGCAACCTCTGCACGTCCAGCTGCCTCCCGCCGCAGCCGGCCCCGTGCCCTGCAAGCTGAACCCCGCCGAAGCTCTGTCCCCCAAGGTCTACGGGGGCTTCCAGCTCGTCCCCGCTACCGACGGCCAGTTCGCTTTTCTCATCCCAAATCCGGCTTTTCCTCCCAGTTCCGGACCAGTTATTCCCCTCTATGCCAACACCAACGCCAACGTCCCGGTGTCCGCCGGCAGCGGCTCGGGGAACGCGCCCGCCACCTCATCAGCATCCCCGGTGCAGGGGTTGACATCGTTTGGGGGTGGCGTCGTTCCGGCGTCCCAGGCGGGAAGTCCCATCGGAGAGCGCAGTGAATCCGTGTGGAGGCCTTGGTGACTGCCCAAAATGATCCCCCCCCTCCTCCCCCTTCCAAAAAAAAAACCAAACCCTCTTCTGTTGGCTCCGTTGTATGGAGCCCTGTTATGTTTGGGGCTTTTTAAGCAGATTTAAACAGGAAAAAAAGGACCTCACTATGAACCTGCTATTTATTATTTTCAGAGGCTGGGATCTTGACTTGTATTTTTACTTCTTTCAAATGCCTTTATTTGAGATACTTTTTTTTTAAAAAAAAAAAAAAACAAAAAAAATAAATGAGAAATAGTTTTGTAACAAATATTCAAAGTATAATGCCAAAGTTGTTTGTATCCTGTTTGTCTGTGCGTGTGTGCGTGCCTGTGTTGCAGACTTCCGAAAAAGAAAAAATAATTGCAGGTGTTTAAATAAATAAACTCTTTGAAATAGATTTAACCTTTTTTTTCCCACCCCTTCCTTTTGTTTTGCTGGGTGAAAGTGGGCAGGGACAAGCTCATCCTCTGTGTGCAACCCCCTCAAAAAAGCAGGAGCAAACTTTATGGCCTTAAGCAAGGCTGTTGGAAGGGATTCGTGTGAAAAATAATTGGGGGGATGGGGTCGAGGGGGGGTCTGGCAGTGGCAAATGCCTCCCGAGAGCTTTGCTGGTGTCACATCTGCACGTGGAACAAACGGATTCCTAAAAATCTGCTCCTGGACCCTGAGGAAACGCTCGCTGCCTGCAATAATGCGGCTCTGAAGATTTTTGCTCCTTACCACCTCGCCAAAGGCATTGCGTGCGTGGGGGTGGCGTGCGCAAAAGTTACTATCTGGCCTACAAAAGAGGCAAGAGAGTCGGTCCCTATTGTCAGGAGGGTAATTAGAAGGTATAAAGGGTCTCATCGAGTATGCAGCGGGCTCTTTGGGAAGTTGGGAACCCTATTGAAACGCCTGGGAACTCGGAGCTGAGGGTTAATGTGTGTCTTTTTTTTTTCTCGCCACTCTCATTGACAGGGCCAGATAGACTCTGATACTCAATGCTGTTGTAAATTCAATTGCCTGGCCTCACAATGCCTACCTCATAAAAGAGAATAACTCGGGGTTGTGGCTTTTTTTCTCTTTTTTTTCCAGTAAGCAAGGGAACTGAGGAAAAGACAGTTTTGCCACCCATTCTGACTCACCCCCAGTACTTGAATCCTGGCCAAGTGGAAGCAATTGCAGCCTCGCACACAGAGAATTAACCACTTCCAATTGTCACCAATTAATAAGGCCGTGGTGTGGAGAAAGACCATTAAGAGCCAACGCACAGTATGGAAGGGAAAGCTTTGTGTGCGCTTTGCTCCAAATTTACGAGGTGGGGCTATCGCCCAGTCTCCGAGAGCAAAGCCAAGAGGTGACATGCGTGCACGCCAAAGCCCCGTCCGGAGGCATCACCCGTCCCGCCTGGGCTTCCCCCGTCCTCCAGTCCCGTGGGATCCCCGCAGGCGAAGCTGGGCCTCCTGACCCCCCTTCCCCGAGGCCCTGGGTTTTTCCCGGCGGTTGGGCTGGGTCGTGGTGGGACCGGCAGCGTTTCACAATTCAGAGAATAACTTGATCTTTGCAGAACACCCCATGAATTCAACAGGCCTAGGGATTTTTTTAGAATGGAAACGCAATTTCATCTCTCGAGGTCTAGTTCTAGTAGCAATCGGGTTGCAGCTTCTGCCAGAACACGGCATTGTGCATGCAGCGGTTGGGGGGGCTCATAAAGCAGATTATCTGCTGCTGAAGGCTGTCTTGCACCCTCGTGAGCTTTCGGCCAAGGTTAGATACAGGAGCGCAGGCTGCTTGGAGCCTGGTACCGATCCAGCCCAGCAATTCCCCCGCACCGACGCGTGGGCAATCGATCAGCGCTGAAAGTCCTCCACCACACCACCAGCCCTAGGTATCCATTTGAATCAGGAGGTTCCCAGGAGGTTTTGTTATGCAATCACAGACAGAAAATCATGTTACAGCAATTCCCTTCCATCCCCCACAGCCGGTTACTACCCCTCCTCTTCTGTCTGAAGAAGGCTTGGGAGAGCGGATGAAAGCCTGCCTGTCGCCTGCGTGTAACCGTATCCCTCCCCGGGGCAGCACCGCGTCTCTGGACTTGTCCCTCGCTGCCCGGTCCCCTCCGCATCGCCCCTAGATTCAGCAAATTTCTTTTATTGACAAGGTACCCGGGGCCAAAAGCGAGACTGCCAAGCGCTACGCTGCTGAGTTCGGGCGCAGGAAAAAAAAAACCCACCCTCTTTCCCGAGTGGGTTTTGAAGGATCGCAGCAGTGCAAACACGACGCGCGGCACGGCGTTCCTCTGGGACGCTCCTCTCCCGGCGCGAGAGACAGGCAGTCACCGCTCCGCCTCCGTCACCCTCAGAGAGAAGTTGTTCTTCCTCAGAGAGGCCCTGAAACGCAAGCACGTAAGGGTACCACCGCCATCTCGGCCTCCCTGGAGCCACTGCAGACCCCCAGCCGTCAGCACCCTGCTTTTACATCCAGCCCTGCCGCCCGCTCTTTTTCTGGCCTCGAGCAAGACTGCTCTGTGCCTGGCTCCCATGGTGCGGACGCTGGGCGGGAGGTGCACGGCACCAACCACCTTGCACGCCAGCAGCTCAGAATCCTTCCGCGGGACGTTGTTGCCCTCAACTCCAGACCGCTTCAGAAGATGTACGGCTCGAGTTCACATCTCTGTGTCTGCCCTACCCAGACCCCACGCTTCTGCAACCGCTCTTGCTCAGCCAAGCTACTCCTCTACAGCTGGGGGGGGGTTGCTGCCATGCTCCTTCAAGGCTCTCTACACGGCTGCTTTCCCAGATTGCGCTAAATTTGGCCTTATCCCTTTAAAGGTGCAGTAAAAGAGCAAAGTATGCCGCTGCCGAGAGGTAAAAGTCCAAAGGGATGGACGCAGCGGCCAAGC